AGATCAAGACCATCCTGGCCAACATGGTGAAACCCTGTCTCTACTAAAAATACAAAACTTAGCCAGGTGTGGTGACAGGCACCTGTAATCCCAGCTATTTGGGAGGCTGAGGCAGGAGAATCACTTGAACCCAGGAGGTGGAGGTTGCAGTGAGCCGAGATCATGCCACTGCACTCCAGCCTGGGCAACAGAGTGAGATTTCATCTCCCTGCCAAAGGAAAAAACAAACAAACAAAAACACAGCACAACAAAACAAAACAAAAAAATTAGCTGGGTGTGGAGGTGCACGCCTGTAGTCCCAGCTACTTGGGAGGCTGAGGCAGAAGAATCATTTGAACCTGGGAGGTGGAGGTTGCAGTGAGCCGAGATCATGCTGTTGCACTCCAGCCTGGGTGACAGAGTGAGACCCTGTCTAAAAAAAAAAAAGAGTGTCACTTAAGGCCACTGAGTGCAGTGGCTTACATCTATATTCCCAGCACTTTGGGAGGCTGACGTAGATGATCACCTGAGGTTAGGAGTTCGAGACCATCCTGGCCAACATGGTGAAACCCTGTCTTTACTAAAAGTACAAAAAATATTAGCCAGGTGTGGTGGTGGGCACTTGTAATGCCAGCTACTCAGCAGGCCGAGGCAGGAGAAGTGCTTGAACCTAGGAGGCAGAGGTTGCAGTGAGCAGAGATTGTGCTCTTATACTCCAGCCTGGGCAACAAGAATGAGACTCTATCTCCAAAAACAAACAAACAAACAAACAAACAAACAAATGGCCTGTGCCTGTAGTCCCAGCTACTTGGGAGGCTGAGGTGGGAGAATCACATGAACTTGGGAGGTAGAGGTTACAGTGAGCTGAGATCTCACCACTGCACGGCAGCCTGGGCAACAGAGCAAGACCACCTGTCTCAAAAAAAAAAAAAAAAAAAAAAAGGCCCTTAACATAGATGGAATGATAGGATTATAAAATCATTGTTCTACAACCAGTATGGTAATAGTTGATTTAGGCAAGAATTGTCAATGGATGCCAACCCATTGATATTGTCAGGGAAGAGATATATTTACAGTTTCAAAGGATCACCCCACACAAGGAAGCTTTTTGTTTTAGATGAAACACACCACTTTAAAGTGAACAATTCAGAAGCATTTAGTACTTTGGCAATGTTGTGCCACCACCTTTATCTAGCACCAAAACATTTTCATCACAGTAAAATAAAACTTGGTACTCATTAAGCAGTTGCTCCCTCCTTCTCTCACCCCTCAACTCCCACCAATCTGCTTTCTGTGGATTTCTGGATATCTCATATAAATGGGATCATACAATATGCGACATTTTGTGTCTGGCTTCTTTTATTTAGCATAATGTTTTCAATGTTCATTCACATTGTAGCATGTGTGAGTACTAAATTCTTTTTATGGCTGAAAATATTCCAGTGCATGTACAGACAATTAGTTTACTCATTCATTTATGGATGACCATTTAGGTTGTTTCCACCTTTTGGCTGTTATGATAGTGCTGCTATGAACACTCATGTACAAAGATTGTTTGAGTGCCTGTTTTCAGTCCTTGTGCATATATACTTAGAAATGGAATTGTTGTTAATTCTATAATTAGCTTTCTGAGAAGCCAACAGACTGTTTCCATAATAACTGTACCGTTTTACATTCCTAAATGTAGGAGGTTTCCAACATATAAGGGTTCCAGAATCCTCACCAATACTTATTGTCCATTAACATTTTTTTTTGAGATGGGGTCTCACTCTGTTGTCCAGGCTGGAGTGCAGTGGTGTGATCATAGTTCACTGCAGCCTCCAGCTCCTGGGCTCAGATGATCTTCCAGCCTCAGCCTCCCAAAAGGCTGAGATTATACTCGTGAGACATTAAGCCTGGCCTTATTTTCCATTAAAAAAATTTTTATGGCTGTGTGTGGTGGTTCATGCCTGTAATCCCAGCACTTTGGGAGACCGAGGCAGGTAGATCACAAGTTCAGGAGTTCAAGACCAGCCTGACCAATACAGCGAAACCTCATCTCTACCAAAAATAAGAAAAAAATTAGCTGGGCATGGTGGCACACACCTGTAGTCCCAGCTACTTGGAAGGCTGAGGCAAGAATGGCTTGAACCCAGGAGGTGGAGGTTGCAGTGAGCCGAGATCATGCCACTGCACTCCAACCTAGGCGACAGAGCAAGACTCCGTCTCAAAAATTTTTTTATGGTCATCCTAGTAGGTGGGAAGTAGTAGCGCTTTATGGTTTTGCTTTGTATTTTCCTAACAACTAATGATGTTAATCCTCTTGTCACATGCTTGTTTGGTTATTTGGATGTCTTTGGAGAAATGTCCATTCAAATCCTTTGCTCATTTTTTTACACAGACTTCTTAAATACAGAGGGAAAAGGTATCTGTATCTTGGAGAAATAAGTAACTGTAACATCACCAGTAATGGAACAAACCGACATCATATTTTCATGCACTAAGATGGACACAACATCACCTATAGTATACTCAACAAAATTGTTTAACTTGGGCTGGGTACGGTGGCTTACGCCTGTAATCCTAGCACTTTGGGAGGCTGAGGTGGGTGGATCACCTGAGGTCAGGAGTTCAAGACCAGCCTGGCCGTCATGGTGAAACCCCATCTTAAAAAAAAAAAAAAAAAAAAAAGTATGTTTAACTTGAATCTAACCATAGGGAAGTAAATCCAAAATAAGGAACATTCTGCAAAATAGTAGAACTGGATTCTTCAAAAATGTCAATGTTATTTAAAAAAAAATTAAAAAAATAAAAAGGGGACCGGGTACCGAGGCTCAGGCCTGTAATCCTAGCACTTTGGGAGGCTGAGGTGGTTGGATCACCTGAGATCAGGAGTTTGAGACCAGCCTGGCCAACACAGTGAAACCCTGTCTCCACAAAAAAAAAAAAAAAAAAAAAAAAAAAAAAAAAAATTGGCTGGGCGCAGTGGCTCACACCTGTAATCCTAGCACTTTGGGAGGCCGAGGTGGGTGGATCACGAGGTCAAGAGATCGAGACCATCCTAGCCAACATGGTGAAACCCCATCTCTAAAAAAGAAGAAAAAAACATTAGGTGTGGTAATCCCAGCTACTCAGGAGGCTGAGGCAGAAGAATCACTTGGACCTGGGAGGCAGAAATTGCAGTGATCTGAGATTGCACCACTGCACTCTAGCCTGGGTGATAAAGCGAGACTCCATTTCAAAGTAAATAAATAAATAGAAAGAAAACCAAAAAACAAAACCAAGAATGATTCTAGACTAAAGGAGTTTAAAAAGACATGACAAATTCAACGGATGATCCTTAATGGTAACCTGAATTAGGAAAAAAAGAAAATCAGCTACAAGTGATATTACTAGGATATTTTGCAAAATTGAATATGGCCTGTATGTTACAGATGATTACACTGAATTAGTACAGAAGTTTCTTGGAGTGATCATGGAATTCTGATTATGTAGGAGATTACCTTTGTTCTTAGTAGATATGTATTGAAATATTTAGGGATAAAGGGTAACTGTCTGCAAAAACTCAAATGAGCAAAACAAACCATACTCACAGGCACGCAGATAGCACATGTGGCAGAATGTTAAAAATTGGTGGCCAGGTGTGGTGGTTCATGTCTGTAATTCCAGCACTTTGGGAGGGAGAAGAGGGTAGATCACGAGGTCAGGAGATGGAGACCATCCTGGCTAACATTGTGAAACCCCGTATCTACTAAAAATTCAAAAAAGCACCTGTAGTCCCAGCTACTTGCGAGGCTGAGGCAGGAGAATTGCTTGAACCCAGGAGAGGCAGGTTACAGTGAGCCAAGTTTGTGCCACTGCACTCCAGCTGGGCGACAGAGTGAGACTCCATCTCAAAAAAAAAAAAAAAAAAAAGGTGAATATAGGTTAATTTGACTGTTGATTATATTTTCCTTGTAACTTTTCTATCGGGTTTCATATTTTTGAAAATAAAAAGTTAAGGGCTCTTCAAAATCCAAGCGGCCTTTTCTGTTCTGTCTGATTTAACATCTTTAGAGTAAGCCACCTTGTCAGTTAAAGATACAGTTGCGTAACTAAAGAGGGAGTTAATGGTCAGGATGTGTATCTTCCAAAAACTATTGTAACTATTTACATACAGAAGAGAACATTGCAGTTACCTTTCTGTGCCACTGTAAACTTGATTCAGATCTTTTGTAGGCAGCCTGATAAGGTGGAGTTTGGGGCCGGCCAGGGCTGAATTTCGATCCTGGCTGGTTAAACTGTTTAACCTCGTTGTGACTCAGTTTCCTCATTGCAGGATACAGAAAATAACTACTTGGTGTGATTGTTGTTTTGAATTGTTACACACATGGTGTTTACGGAACCGGGCTTCAATTGATGTGCAAAACCTTGATCCTACTTTGAATGCTATCTGTATCTTTCCCTTCATTACACTCGTGTAATCCTGGAGGGCAGGTAGAGGTGAGAGAGAAAACGACTTCTCCAAGGTCACACTGCGAATCGCGGACCCAGGTTTCCCAGCTTTTGGTCGTGTGCCCTTTCCACGCCCGCCGGAGAGGAGGAAGCGGTGCTCATGGGGATGCAAGGATGTAGAGGAGCAAAGGGGGAGAAGAGGCCGCGGGAAGAGTGGTGGTGCGAGACCCGCGGAGGCGCCGGCCAAGGAAGGGCGCATGGAGAGGCGGGCGGCGCGACAGGCCGGGGTGCGGAGGAGAGAGGCCGCGGCGGGGAGGGAGGGTCCCGCGGGCCGGGTGCCCGGGAGAGGCGGGCGGCCTGGGCCAGCCGCAGGGGCGCAGGAGGTGGAGGCCCGGGCCGCGGGCTGGGGCCGGGGAGGCCGAGGGCCAGCGCGGCCACGGGCGGCGGCCACTCCTGCACAGGTGGGTGGGGCGGGGGCGCGGGGCGAGCGGCACGGGGGTCCCGACCCCGGCGGCCGGCGGGGTGGGGGCGGGGCGGGGCGGGGGCGGGGCCGGCCGGGGGCGGGTCTTGCTGGGCCCCCGCGGGAGCAGCGGCGGCAGCGGCGGCGGCGCAGGCGCGGTTCCCGCCTCCTCCTGGCCGGCGGAGCGAGTGGAGGCTGGAGCCCGGCTCGTCTCGGCGCTCGCGTCGCCGCCGCCGCGAAGCCCCCCGCCCCGCTTCCGCCGCGTCGGAATGAGCTCCCGGAAAGGTGAGTGGCCCGCGGCGCGCCCCCTCCTCGCCACGCGGCCGGCCCGGGCGGGCGGCCCGACCGTTAATGTGTGTCTTCTCTTCCCCCAGTGCTGGCCATTCAGGCCCGAAAGCGGAGGCCGAAAAGAGAGAAACATCCGAAAAAGTGAGTCCACGCTGCGCCTGTCCCCGGTCCCCACGCCCGCCCCGTTGGGGGCGCCCGCAGCCGCGCAGGGGAAAGTTGCCTGGGTGCCCGGGCGGGCTGGCCGGCTGCTCCCCTGGGACGCCGGCGCTCGGCTCCTGCGCCCCGCGGGCGGCCCGGGGGGAGGGGCGGCGGCGGGGGAGGGGCGCGCGGGCTGCGGCCGGTTCCCGAGCATCCCGGAGCCTCGACCCCGCGCCTTCCCGCCCCGGGTCGCCGCTGGCGGGCGGGGGACCGGCGGGGAGGCGCAGGGCGGGGCGTGCGCACCCCTCCCCAAGCGCCGAGCTGGCCCGGGGGTCGTGGCCCTTCCCGGGAGGGGCCCCGACGTCCGCCACCCGGCTCCGGCGCGCCGGGTGCTGGCGTCTGGCGGCTGCGCGGCTCCCACCTGAGCCGCGGGCGGAGGAGGCGGAGGGGCCGAGTGTGCGCGAGGGCGAGTGTCTCGCCTCCCCTTCCTCCCCGGCCCCCGCCTCCGCCTGTCGGCCTTTCTGCTGAGAACCGGAGCTGGTTGTCAAGTGGTTCGCCTGGGGCGTGTTCCTGGCGCGAGTTCAGCCCCGAGACCTGTGCATTTCGGCTCTCGGGTTTGGATTCGAAACTTTCCGCTCGGGTCGATGGTGACTTGGGTGCGCGGCGGGCGCCTGGGTCGCGGGCTGCGCCGGGCGGTGGGCGTGTGCGCGGGGAGAGGGCTGGGGCTGGGGCTGGGGCTGGGGCTGAGGCAGAGGCTGGGGCTGGGGCTGGGGCTGGGGCGTGGGGCGGGAGCCCGGCGGGATGGAAAACGCGCCCGCGCGGGCCACCTCCAGCCTGCCCGTGCACCCGAGCCGGGAGGCAGCTGCCCGAACGAGAAGCCTTTCCTGGAGAGCTGCTCCGAGACCGCACAGCGCCGCCGCGTCTTCTCCTCTTCCACTCTTCTCTCCTAATTTTTTTGATTTTTACCAGCGTTCAACATCGTTACCTCGTCCTCTAGATTAATTGCTCTTCTGAGCAAAAATACTCTTTGTGGCATGTTTGGTACTGTGGGGAACGAGAGTCCAGCATCGTCTTTAATAAAATCCGGAAACATTTTTGGTTGTTTGTTTCCTTTGAGGGGTACCTCGCAGCACTCTCAGGCTTTTTTCCCCTTCTTTTGGCCTTGGTCCCTACCTGGAGAATTTCAGACCCATGGTTGGCTTCTAGGAAAACCGGCTAAGTCATTATTAAGTTATAGTACAGGACGACAGGACTTTGTTCATTTAAAAGGAACATATTTGAAAGTATTTTTAGGGCTTCACAAAATGTGGAGAGTGACATAAAAATATACCTGTCTTAAAAAAAAAAGAGTAAGGGGAAAGGACTTACTAAGGACATGAAGAACTAAATCGGTGAGTAAAAGTAGGACGTTGAATTCGTAAGATGTTAAAATGGAATGGATTTTTGGTAGTTTTAGATGCTTTTTAAAAAATTAGTGCTAGTTTTCAAGTGAATTAGAACCTTAAATTTGAGATTTCCTTTGGTGAACCATGGACGTTTACCCAGTGGTAAGAACTGTGATGTTTAGGATTCTGAATGAGTACTGGGTTTTAATCACAGCTTTTACTTCAAAGAATTGATTTAATTCCACGTAGTTTGTTATATTCAGAAACAAAAAGAAGTGGGAAAGGTATGACCCCAGTGTTAGAGATGGCTGTATGTACAAACAGACCATGTATGTGTGCATGCTACCTATGCATACATGTAGAAGAACAGTTCTAATTAAGTCAGTATGTGGTTTTTATTTGCATATATTAGGTTATGATTTTCCTAATGGCCAAGGGCCTTTCTGGTGGGCCACAGTTTGGTATGTGGTATGTTTATGAAGACTTGGTGAATAGCCAGTCACAGTACTCAGCTTTTACCCTCACAGATTAATCTGCTGCTTTCTCCCACTGTGTGTTGTGTATATGTAATAGAATTTGAGGCTGATAGGTAACGGGACCAGCCCAATTATATAACTAATTGAGGCAATATCATTTTTCACAAGACATTATTTTATTTTTCATTTTATTTATTTATTCTAAAACAGTTTCACTCTTGTTGCCCAAGCTGGAGTGCAATGGCCTGATCTCGGCTCATTGCAACTTCTGCCTCCCGGTTTCAAGCAATTCTCCTGCCTCGGCCTCCCGAGTAGCTGGAATTACAGGTGCCCGCCACCACACCCAGCTAATTTTTTTTTTTTTTTTTTTTTTTTTGAGACGGAGTTTCACTCTTGCTACCCAGGCTGGAGTGCAATGGCACGATCTCAGCTCACCACAACCTCCACCTCCCGGGTTCAGGCAATTCTCTTGTCTCAGCCTCCTGAGTAGCTGGGATTACAGGCACGTGCCACCCTTTTTAGTAGAGATGGGATTTCACTGTTTTGGCCAGGCTGGTCTCCCAACTCCTGACCTAAGGTGATCTACCCGAATTTTCCTCCCACAGTGCTGGGATTACAGGCGTGAGCCACTGCTCTCGGCCTGAATCAAGACATTTCTTTGAAGTGTTTGATGTTACTTATTTATTCATGTATTCAATGGATATTTACATGTTTTTCTTTGAAGATGGTAATAGAACTTTGAATAAGACAAAGCTCCTTGCAAAGCTAACATTCTTTGGACGTTTGGGGAAAACCACAAAGAGGGTGACAGGATAATTTCAGACAGGGCTAAGGGATATGAAGAAAATTAAGATGAGGCATCTTAAGTCATAATAATAGATGATATTTGAACACTGCCACTCTGCTGATTGCTTTATGTGTACCTTGTTGACAACCCTATGAGGTAGGCACTGTTAACTACATTTTACAGATGAGGAAACAGGGACACAGCAAGAGTAACATTAACATGCCCAGCTGTTAAGCTGAATCCAGGCAGCCCAGGACCAGAGTCCACACTCACCTCTCTGAGAGGTGACATTTGAGCAGGATGGAGAATGAAGAGGAGATGGAGTGTGGCAGAGGCCCTGGGGAGGAATGGACTGAAAGTATTCGAGGAACCCAAAGGTCACGGTGTCTGGAGAGGTTGATGGGAGGCAGGAGTAAGAGCATATCTGCCTTCGTAGGCCATTGGAGGCTTATATGTGGAAGGGACAGGTTCTGATTCCTGTTTAAAAAGAGCATGGCTGCTACCTAGAGAGTAGATTGTGGAGAAGGGGATAGCAGTGGAAACAGACCTGGCCTGCAGTAGTGCATGGTTGAGTGTGCAAGGAGTGGCACCTGAGAAGTAAAAGGATCTCCAGGACACTAGTATTTTCAGGGTACTCTGCATTTTACAGACAGCTCTGACAGGTTAAGGCTACCCAGTAGCTTCATTTAAATCAGAATTCAGGTCTCCTGAATCCCTATTTTTACTTTTTGATTAACTTTCCAGAGGAGGAAAAGGAGATAGGTATAATTTTTTTTTTTTATGATAGGCATAATTTATTAATTCGATGACTGGCAAACTTGAATTATGTGACTCTGGATCTGGGTTGGTTTAATATGATTTACTGTTGTTACCTACTTTTGTTAGGCAAACTGGCTTTTCATTAATTTTAGTTCTGTTAAAATCCGTGAGCTTTTATGAATTGAGCCAGTTCCTAGAGGCTGTTTTTATGGTACACTGGAAATTGTAGTTGTCAGGAATAAGATTAAGATTTCTCAGCTTAGTGGTAGATTATTCTCTGAGTTTAGTTTGCTAAATTTTTTTTTTTTTTTTTTTTTTTTGAGACGGAGTTTCGCTCTTGTTACCCAGGCTGGAGTGCAATGGCACGATCTCGGCTCACCGCAGCCTCCGCCTCCTGGGTTCAGGCAGTTCTCCTGCCTCAGCCTCCCGAGTAGCTGGGATTACAGGCACGTGCCACCACGCCCAGCTGATTTTTAGTATTTTTAGTAGAGACGGGGTTTCACCACGTTGACCGGGATGGTCTCGATCTCTTGACCTCGTGATCCACCCGCCTCGGCCTCCCAAAGTGCTGGGATTACAGGCTTGAGCCACCGCGCCCGGCCGCTAAATGTTAATTGTGCCGCTTTGTGAGTAACAGGCAGCACGGAAGGACTGTAGTGTTGTTTAGTCACATATCTTAGGAATTAGCTACATCTCATAACTTGGTATAAGTTTTTGCATTAGGGCATGTTTATATGTAGGTACAGTTTTTAAAAGATCTCTTGCATTTATTTTTTAAAATAAGTTATTGAGATATAGTTCCCATATCCTAAAGTTTACCTTTTAAAATATGCCATTTACAAATTTTTAGTCTGTTTATTAAGTTGTGCAGCCATTATCTAATTCTATAACATTATCACTTCCCCAGAAAGAAATTCCATGTTTGTTTTCCAGTTATTCTCCATTCCCCTTCTCCCTGCCTTGGCAACAACTAATTTACATTCTAAGTCTCTATGAATCTACTTATTCTGAACATTTCATGTAAATGGAATATACAATATGTGGCTTTGTGTCTGGTTTCCTTAGAATAATGTTTTCAAGATCCATCCATATTGTGGCACGTATTGGTACTTTGTTCCTTTATATTGCTGAATAAGTAGTGTTGATATGCCACAGCTTACCCATTCATCCATTGTTGTTTAAAATTTTTCTATTTCTGGCCGGACGCGATGGCTCAAGCCTGTAATCCCAGCACTTTGGGAGGCCAAGGCGGGTGGATCATGAGGTCAAGAGATCGAGACCATCCTGGTCAACATGGTGAAACCCTGTCTCTACTAAAAATACAAAAAATTAGCTGGGCGTGGTGGCACGTGCCTGTAATCCCAGCTACTCAGGAGGCTGAGGCAGGAGAATTGCCTGAACCCAGGAAGCAGAGGTTGCGGTGAGCTGAGATCGCGCCATTGCACTCCAGCCTGGGTAACAAGAGCGAAACTCTGTCTCAAAAAAAAAAAAAAAAAAAAAAAATTTTTTTTTTCTATTTCTGGCTGGGCGAGGTGGCTCATGCCTGTAATCCCAGCACGTGGGAGGCTGACGTGGGATGATCACAAGGTCACGTAG